ACGAGCGGCAGTTACTTTGTTTAATCATGTTAATGGAAAAACTACAAAGTATGAAGATAAAATCAATAGGGACATAAACATGGTTTGTAGAATACAATGTATTCGAGTTATCACATTGCGCAAAGAAAATAGTATAGGAAACTGAACGGGTGAATGTGTGGCAAGAACGTACGAAATGGTTAATGTTATCACGTTCCGGGTAAAATATGATGTTCCCGCGTTCGTTGGGCAGAAGTTGCAATTCACCGGCATCCGGAATTTAGTTAATGGTGTCGTTTCCGCAATAGCGAGGGCTCATTTCATTAATTGTAAGGCTAATTGCGATGGTTTATGTGGTCAGGTTAGCTTACGGATCGCATAAAAGTTCGTTATAGTTTTCAAAACGGGGGGTTTTATCTCACTGAAAAGTTAACTTATCTAACTTGATGTTTTTCGGGGTTGAAATGACTTTTTACTAATTACTTCCGCGTGGAAATTTGGGTTAAACTAAAACTATAAATAGTACTTTTAGGAGAAGTTTTCCCAATTTTCATTATAAAATTGTCGTTGTATAACGTGGAATGATCTTGTGTTATTATGTGAAACGTCGTCGCCAGCCACATTGCCCTTATTGCGTTTATTCCGTTTACGGCAAACGTTGCGTAAAGTTACTGTAATGTGATTGCACTTAGCGGACGCTCGCCTTTCCATTTTCTTCAAGTGCGCAATGGGGCGAGGACCCGAACATAAAATATAGCAACTACGTCAGTTTATCACGAAAGAATGTTGGAAATATATTTTAAGAAATAGAAACCAATGTACTTAGTAAAAAAATTTTTTGATTTTATTTACCTTTCGTAGCTAAAAATGCGATCGCCTGATCCATTCCGCCTCCTTGAGTTCCAATATATCTCTCGCATATTGCACATAGTGAGGCTAATTTTTCTTTGCAAACTGGATACTAAAATAAAAACAAAAAAAAATTATTATTCTAGTAAATTAAATTGTAGTAAAACCTCGATATAACGAATTAATACGGGAAAAGAAGTGCCCGTTATAACCAAAAGTCCGTTATATGAAAAATTTTTAATTCATGAATAATTTTAATGCACACAAATAGACGTCTTAAGAGACGTACTTACGGCTAAACGTGAATGTTTCCAGTTCTAGGGGTAATGTTAGTTCTAATTTTGTTTCCATGAAAAATATACAACAATCTAACACTTAATAACCACTAAAACTAGAACTAACACTGGCATTACAACTAACACTNCCCCTCACCCCCTCACCCACGTACTCATTTTTCATTACAGTTAAATTTTAAAAATTTGAATATTGAGTGTATCAATGGATGTCAACTTAAGTTTTATTCAATACCAATGGAATTTCAACATCATAACTTCATACCAAACAACCACATATATACTTTCCAATAGTTGTATCATCCCTTATTGGATATCAATTTATTAATTTGAATTTGAAGACACCAACTAAAATTTTATTCGTTACCACCGGAAGTTCAACTTCATAACTTCCTACTATGCATTCACTTGTACATTTTCCCAATCATTTTATCCTCCCCTTATTAGGATTTCGATTTATTACATTTCAACACACACCCCCCTCCCCCTTCTTTTCCAAACCTCCCTTTCCATATATACTCAAATACACGAGAATTTTTAAATATGGTAAAGTTTAAACTTTGCATCTTTTGAGTTCCTTGTTTACCACTCCCTTCCCTCTCCAATCCTACATATTTCCACCCTAATTAGATTAATATTATTATATTAATAATTTGAAATGTTCAATTAGTACCAACTTAAACTTATATTTTCCACCAAATTTCCGAGCATCTTAACCCTACTTCCTGTTTAACGGTCTCTTGCAGCTACACGCGTCTCTTTACGATCGATCTTTAATCGTTTTATATTTTTCTTGTGATTTAACTGTTTAATGTATCTATGGGTTGTTAATCTGTCTTTGTTTTGACGTAAGTTTACTCTAATATTATAAATTTACTTAATTGATTTATTGTATTATCTTAACAACTAGAAAGAACCTTATAATTTAATAAGTTTTAATTTTTGTATTTTAAGGATTCTCCTGATGATGCAGTTACTTTATAAACTGTAGAGAAAATATAAATTAATACGTTCATAAGTGCACAACATTTGTTTTAATAGTGAATAACGCTAATGCGTGCTTTCTTCCTACACTTTGAAGCTTTCTATGGGGTGCACCGACAATGGAAATTTTTTAAACATAAGGAGCTTTAATAAGTTTCTATTGTTGTTAACACCAAAGCTCTAAAGAATAACGCAGCTTCTTCGGCAGCGCCATCAAAAATTAAAGCAAGCCTCGGAAATTGACGAAAACATTTCTGTGATGTTTAGTGTCGTTAACGTCGTTGACTATTGCTAGACAAGCAGAATGCCTTTAAGTCTTGCAGAAGTTGCTCAGGCAGTGGCTTTGGTGGAAGATTGCTCAGCACTCATGCTGCTCGTGTTCTAGGTGCGATACAGAGTACCGTTTGTCGCGCCATTCAAAAATTTCGACAGACTGGCACCTTCATCAGACGACCTTGGCCAGGAAGAAGACTTACCACACGACGTCTGGAACAAGTGCGTCGGGTGAACGTGAGTGAATGGACAGTAAGAAGGAGATTTCAAGATGCGGGGTTGAGATCCCAGAGACCAGCAACTGGACCACAGTTGCTTCGAACACATCGTGTTGCTCAATTACAATTTGCGCGAGATCATGTTCACTGGACCAATACAGAGTGGCAAAACGTACTGTTCTCAGACGAATCGAGGTTCGGCTTGTACTCTCCAAATGGTCGAGAGAGAGTTTAGAGAAGAGCAGGAGAGCGTTATGCTCAATGTAACTTCTCTGAAAGAGTACAATACGAGGGAGAATCTGTAATGGTTTGGGGAGCTTTATCAACGGCAATCTCAACGCGGCTCGGTATATTGAAGAAATTTTGGCTGAACACGTGGTCCTCTTCGGCCCATTTATTGCTGACAATTTCGTGTTCATGCACGCTCCCATACAGCCCGCATAATTTCCCAACACCTGGAGGATTTGTATATTAGCTGAATAGAATGGCCTGCACGTAGCCCTGATTTCAACCCCATAGAACACATGTGGGATATGCTAGCTGGCATATCTAAACGAATACTGTTAGAAGACATACCGAACATGTACCGACAATTGCCATTACGGTGCAAAATATTGACTTATTTTAAAAGTTAAAAATGACATTATATTTTGACACCACTTTTTCTATGACGACGGTGTTGTAACAGTTTGTTGTTATATTGAATTTATATTGGAACAGTCTGGTAAGTGTTGCTTAGTAACACTTAACGGCCTTGTGATGTTATAGCTCACTTACCGTACTCAAATTGATGATGTAATTGATGATGTTCGGCACTTACCATTAAACATCAATATACAGAAAATGAAATAAAGGTATTTTAAGTATAGTTAATGGATCCAAAATCGATCGAGTAGATCGAAAATCAATTAAAAAAACTAAAAATTAATATGTTTGATAGGAAGTTTGATTACCGAAATATAAGCGATTAAATACTTTTTCTCTTAATTCCAAACCTTTATAACTCGCCCTAGACTTTTTTTCTTTTTCCTTATGTGTAAGAATTACGTAAACTTTATTTTGAGCTATTTTATGTAACAACTTGCATAATTGTATGTAATCCTTCCCTTGTTAGCTCTAAAAAAGTTAATTAATATTGTATGTGTTATAATTTATAATATTCCCACATAAATAAATACATAATTCACAAAAATATAAGCTTTAATAATAAAAATTGTTCAATATAAAACATTTTCAAGCATTACATTTTATTGCTTTGATGCTATAAAATCGTGAATGCATTTGCTAAAATTTATGTTAGTACGTTTTATTCGCTTAAAATTGAAACATCGATTTTACCTGTCCCGACATTTCAGTATTTTAATGAAAATTGTCAAAATACTACTAATTTAGAAATTTGCATACAATGTACAAATAGTAAAATTAATTTTTTTAAATGCGTCTAATTTTTATGTAACAATCTATAAACGTTTCCGTTAAGTAAAAATTTTACTTAGGATTTAATTTTATCAAGACCAAGGTTCGTAAAGCGTATTGTACAATACGCTTTACAAACCTTGATCAAGACTTACTTACGAGCGGCAGTTACTTTGTTTAATCATGTTAATGGAAAAACTACAAAGTATGAAGATAAAATCAATAGGGACATAAACATGGTTTGTAGAATACAATGTATTCGAGTTATCACATTGCGCAAAGAAAATAGTATAGGAAACTGAACGGGTGAATGTGTGGCAAGAACGTACGAAATGGTTAATGTTATCACGTTCCGGGTAAAATATGATGTTCCCGCGTTCGTTGGGCAGAAGTTGCAATTCACCGGCATCCGGAATTTAGTTAATGGTGTCGTTTCCGCAATAGCGAGGGCTCATTTCATTAATTGTAAGGCTAATTGCGATGGTTTATGTGGTCAGGTTAGCTTACGGATCGCATAAAAGTTCGTTATAGTTTTCAAAACGGGGGGTTTTATCTCACTGAAAAGTTAACTTATCTAACTTGATGTTTTTCGGGGTTGAAATGACTTTTTACTAATTACTTCCGCGTGGAAATTTGGGTTAAACTAAAACTATAAATAGTACTTTTAGGAGAAGTTTTCCCAATTTTCATTATAAAATTGTCGTTGTATAACGTGGAATGATCTTGTGTTATTATGTGAAACGTCGTCGCCAGCCACATTGCCCTTATTGCGTTTATTCCGTTTACGGCAAACGTTGCGTAAAGTTACTGTAATGTGATTGCACTTAGCGGACGCTCGCCTTTCCATTTTCTTCAAGTGCGCAATGGGGCGAGGACCCGAACATAAAATATAGCAACTACGTCAGTTTATCACGAAAGAATGTTGGAAATATATTTTAAGAAATAGAAACCAATGTACTTAGTAAAAAAATTTTTTGATTTTATTTACCTTTCGTAGCTAAAAATGCGATCGCCTGATCCATTCCGCCTCCTTGAGTTCCAATATACCTCTCGCATATTGCACATAGTGAGGCTAATTTTTCTTTGCAAACTGGATACTAAAATAAAAACAAAAAAAATTATTATTCCAGTAAATTTAATTGTAGTAAAACCTCGATATAACGAATTAATACGGGAAAAGAAGTGCCCGTTATAACCAAAAGTCCGTTATATGAAAAATTTTTAATTCATGAATAATTTTAATGCACACAAATAGACGTCTTAAGAGACGTACGTACGGCTAAACGTGAATGTTTCCAGTTCTAGGGGTAATGTTAGTTCTAATTTTGTTTCCATGAAAAATATACAACAATCTAACGCTTAATAACCACTAAAACTAGAACTAACACTGGCATTACAACTAACACTAGAACTAGAAACATTCAGGTTTAGCCGTCTTAAGAGACGTAGCGCTAAAGCTGAATGTTTCTAGTTCAAGGTCTAGTGTTAGTTCTACTTTTAGTTCAATAAAATCTATCATGCTCCCGGCGCCACTTGCAGGGAGCGCCAAAGAATCCCCAACGCATAAACAATATATAAGATATTTCGAATAATTTTAATTGTTATTTTACTGGATTTCTCAGAAATATATTTTAAAATAATATTATCATTGTAACATAATTAATTATTGTGATATATGATAATGTTATGAGAATGCTGCTGTGATGTCAGGTCATATATCTGGCGTTCAACAAAGAATTATAGAAAAAAAATAATAAAGCACTATTTGTAAATTGTGATAATCACTCTTTAAATTTAGCAGGAATTACTGCAGTTAAGCAAGATCCAATCGTTGTAACATGTTTTGGAATAATTGAAAACATATATCTCTTTTTCTCACGTTCAATTCACATCACGATGGGAATTACTAAAAAATGCTTTAAAGAAAACTGTGAAACGTCAATCTGAAACACGATGGGGCGCCAAAGCACAAGCGGTTAAAATTATTGTCGATAAGCTGGAAGTGTTAATAGGAGAAATGGAAAAATTAGCGGAGGTAGCAGAGGTACTAGCACAAGTGATACCAGAAGCGAAGCTACAATTTTGTTACAAAACATAACGAATTTCAATTTTATAACTGTAGTCCATTTCTGGCATGAAATCTTGAAGAGAATTGATCGAGTGAAGCTCAAATTATAAGATCTTAAAATGAATTTTAGAGAAGCTTTCCATGATCTTGAAACATTAGCGACTAAACTTGCACAAATTCGAGACATAGTCTGTAAAAACGCAATAAAAAAGCTAACCCTCTTTGTGAAAAATGGGATTGTTGTATTAAACAATCCGCGATAGAAGACGTCGAAAAATGCCCAGAGAATTGGCTAGCGATGTTGGCCTTAATTCCAAATTATGATTTCTATTGGACGTTGAAAATTTATTAAACCAGGATAATGATGATAACGGTCTTGAAAATAGGTGAATTTTATAATACAGATTACAATGGAACAGAAATCTCCGTCGAAATATGTGACTGCAAAATGTTACTCCGCAATAGAAAAGAAATTGAACCTAAACTTCCATTAGAGCTTCTTACCTTTATAATATCGTACGGAGAAGATGTTTTTCAAAACCTGACAATCGCGTTTCAAATACTCCTTACTATTTCATTATTAATTGCTAACTGTGAACGTTCGTGTAGCAAATTAAAATCACTGGTTTGGTGCCCAAAAACAAATCTTGAAGCCCTACTCGGTCCCACACCACTTCATTTATATATACAAAAGGAGGCAGCATTAAGTGCCTTATCACTGAAAACATGCTCTTCACTCAAGCTCATGCAGGGTAACCTCAGAAGACACCTCGAAATCCTCAAGGTCCCATGTCTAATTCATTTGATTGAAATTAAAACGGGCCTTATACTGACAGAATACAATTTCGACCAGCCGTATGTGAGCCTCAACTAAAAAGAGGAGCCCTTGCCTGGTACACGGAGGCTTCAAAGACAGTTGCATCCGAAGTAGGTTTGGGCATTAGTGGACCAAATAGCCGCATTAAATTGCCCCTCAGCTCGGACATAACCACTTTTCAAGCAGAAGTACTTGCTATAAACTTCTGCAATGCTTTGAGCCTACAAAAGGGACAGAAAGGTGCATCCATAAATATTTTCACAGACAATTGGGCCGCTCTAAAGGCAATTCAGGCTACACGTCTGACTCCGCACTGATCAGAGAGTATACCAGGAACCTGAGAGAACTCGGTAGGGGCAATGATGTTACTCTATGATGGATTCCAGGTCACAGAGACATTGAGGGCAATGAAAAGGCGAACAAACTGGCCAAAGAGGCAGCGAAAACGACCTTCATTAAACCGCAACCCGGTTGTGGACTACAAAAAAGCCACCTAAAACAAGTAATCAAGAGTCGGGAAGCCTCAAAGGTAGCCTTACGCTGGAAAGAACATACTAGTCACAGACAAGCGAAGAGTATGATAACTCCATCGTAAAACAAATCCAAACAGATTTTATGCCTCAGCAAAGGGGATCTAAAGACGCCCTCAGGTTTCCTGCAAAATATGTGCTTCCCTAAAATACCACCTGTTCCACATTGCACAAGCTGAGGATCAAACTTTTGTCGACTTTGCAACGACGAGTCAGAAACGGCTGAACATATACTGTGCAAATACGTCGCCAGAGGCCAACTAAGACACAGCATTTTCGGTAAAGCTCTTTTGATACCTACCGACATGAAGGAACAAGACCTTGGAGCAATACTAAGGTGCATTAAGGACCTACATTTGCCCTAAACTTTTGGAGGGCTAAAGTTACAATAGATCTTATAGGTCGCGGTGACCAGAGGGGCCGCTGCCCTCAGCCCAGCAGTAATAATAATAATAATTCCATCGGCTTCCCTACCGAGGAGTTTAGTGAAGATTTCCCCTGAATAGACGTTGAAGAGGAGTGGTGAAAGAACACACAGCTGTCTTACTCCTCGCTTTATTTCCACTGCGTTCGTCAGCTCTGATTGAACGCACTCTGGTTTAGGTATAATCTTACTATTATTTGCATGTCCCGTGTATCGAGGTTTTTCCGTTCCAGCGCTTCCATCTGCTGTTTGTGTCTTACTATATCAAATGCTTTATTATAATCAATAAAGCAGGCGCATACATTTTGGCTGTCATCAAGATATCGCTGCATGAAGACATAGTACGCAAACAAAGCCTCTCTTGTGCCGAAACCATTTCTAAAACCAAACTGGGTATTAGCCATACCCTCTTCCAATTTCTTGCAGATCCTACGGTGGATGACTTTGAGAAAGATCTTTAATGTATGGCTCATTACACTTATCGTATGGTGTTCTTCACATTTTTTAGCGTTTTGCTTCTTAGGAATTGTTATAAACGTTGACCGATGTGATTCTTCTGGTATTGTTCCTGTTTCATAGATTTTATTAGATAGCGACGTTACAATATCTGTATGTTGTTCTTCAATCAACTTTAGTACAACTGCGGGTAGTTCGTCAGGGCTAGAGGTTTTCTCATCTTTGGCGAATTTTATTGTTGCTTGTACTTCTTCTTTTAGAATAGATGGTCCACTTTCAGTGTTAGTGTTGAGCTCTATGTCTCCTGTCTGGTCATTGCAAAGGGTCTTGATATAGTTTTCCCATAGAATCAGTTGATCCCCAATATTCAAGACAATGTTTCCTTTTTCATCTGTAAGAATGTATTTTTGTCTCCAATGTAGTCTCTGTAGGTTTTCTATCGGCATTTATATTCGATGTCGATCTGTACTTCTTTATACTTCTGACTGTCTTTATTCTTCAGGTTTCTTCTTTCTTCCATAGGCGCCAATATCTCACCAGTCATCCAATCCTTACAATTTTTCAGTTCTTTTTTCAGGTTTCACATGTTTCCTACAAAGTTCCGTAATGGCTGACTTTAGATTCTTCGCTTTTTGTATGTGTCTCAACGATGACAACACGTCTTCTTATGTATTTTAAGTTGTGAATTCTTATCAAACTTGAATTCTTTCAAATACGAATCTACAATCAGATAAAATTCCTACAGTATTAGTTACTAAACCACCCCAGTAATTGTCGATCCATAACCATGAAACAAACAATGATTCAGTTGTTTATCTCAGCGAGGCTTTCTGGAGAAAGTTACTTGCTACCATCGATACTCCCAACGACGATATTTTCGTAAACTTCTTTCTCTGGGATCTCTGGGATAAGAATGGGATCGTAACTAATTTTTTGCACAGGTAAAATAACTTTTCAAATTTTTGACAAAATATATTAGCTTTAACAGCCGCGCTTATATGGCAAAATGAATGTTTTGTATTCTGAACAATAGAGAGAAATCGAACTCCTACCAGAATTTTTAAAAGGAAGTAGTTTCCAACATATTATCGTAATGGAATGTGGAAACGTCAAGGATCCGACAATTAATGGCGCTTCGGATCCACCGTACGTCAAGAAGCTCAGCAATCTTTTGAACATCGTATATTCGAAAGTTTGCAGGAAGTTCTTCTTGATGAAAGTAAGACCCAGTACCAACGGCAAATAAGTAATGCGTACCATGACCGTTTGCATATACAAGAAGGAAATCAATTGGTGAGAAATTGTATCATTTGAGTATCAGAGCAAAAACCTCCAAAATATTACTTTTTTGATTTAGTAGTTAAACTTCTCGATTTACTGAAAACAGCTTCAATTCAATCAAAAATCGCTAGTGCTATTTAGAGGTGTATGAGTGTTTAGCTTGTCCGAATTTTCGTGATTTCAAACCTGAAATTGTGGAGGTATGTTTGAACCGTATAGGTTGTGGTGAGCCTGTTGTTTCAGAGCCTTGTAGGGTTCGTTGCTATTTACATATCCTCGTGTACACTCAATCAAATCATTTAAGGAAAAACAATATACTTAAAAAAATGATGATGGTCATTTTCTCACGATTTTCTCACGATTTAAATAGCATTGATGTTTATTATTGCCCGGCAGCAATAATAATAATAATAATTATGATATAATAAATAAATATATATTAACTTTTTTTATAGTAAATGCACTACAATAGTCTAATCCTGAATAATAACTAAAACTAGAACTAACACTAACATTAGAACTAACAGTAGACCTAGTACTAGAAAGATTCAGATTTAGCCGTCTTAAGAGAGGTAAGGCCAAACCCGAATGTTTCTAGTTCTAGGTATAGTGTTAGTTCAACTTTTAGTTCTATGAAAATATACAACAATCTAGCGCTGAATAACAATTAAAACTAAAACTAACTAAAACATATGAACATTTAATAGAGCAGCTTGGGAAATAACCTGAGTTGGGTTCAATCTATGAGCGCTAACATTTAGATTTAAATATAGTGATGTAAAAATATTTTGTCCGTTATATCTGAAGTCCGTTCTAACGAAGTTTGTTAAATCGAGATTTTACTGTATTTCTAATTTAAGGCTTTCAGAAAATTCACCACACAAATAGATAATCCGATTTAAACACGTCTCCAAGTCCATTTCGTCTCTTAGTAAATACTGGGAATTATCTCCAGATTCTGTACAAAGATGGAAACGGCTTAAAGCACTCCCTAAGTGTTTCTCTAACCCCTACGTGATTCGTATCTATGGAGACGTGAACAAATCCGTTCGTCACTTCCTTGAAAATCGGTCAACCGTCAGAGCATAACAACACACTCGTTAGGAAACTAACCGCTAGGCCGAAACTTTGCTCGTTTCCACTAAAATACGACCCTCATGCAGAAACCTCTTTTTGCCTCATAGCTCTTTATGTTGATTGTGCTTGTACAAAGTGAACATTCGAAAAGGGATGAGCATTGTTATACAATTATTATTTGTGTGAAATAAAGTGGAACATTATGAAGCTTTAGGATATAAATGTTACGCTATGCGTCCATATAATTTTTAAATTGTTTGTGAAACCAATATTGACCGTCGCACAAAAGGTTCATTAGAGATCCAAGCCGCAATCCCCGCAAGGAAAACGCTGAATATTGTAAACGGTTCTCCGGTTAATGTGTTGACACAACCCACTTCGGAAAATGGGCGATGTAGACGTCGTTTCCGTTTCTTCAACAAGGGTGCGCTACATAAGTGCCGTCGTTCCTCTAAAAATTCGCTTTTCTATCAGTTTTCGTTAACGTCTCAGAACTTGACGGGCGGAGGATATTTTTACAATTTCGATTTCGCGACAACTTGTTTCGTTTCATCTTGTTTATTTCCAAGAAAATATTCCTGAATAGTACAATGTGAAAATAAAATAAAAAATCACGCATATTTTAAGTGGCACACATAAAAAATTCTGCCATTAGAGCTTTCCGGCATCAATGGCCATTAAACCGAAATTACTTTTCGCAGAAGTGAAGCTATATATATGGGCGATGCATTTACCGGTAACGACGTTGGTAATACCGATAGAGAAACGTGGGAGAGCAAACGTTGGCTTTTTATCGAATCTCTCGTCCGTCATAGCGTGGAAATGGTGAGCAGAGGTTCGCGTTTTTGTGGTGTAATCACCTCTAAAATTTCAACCTGGCTTTTTCGCTCAACACGGGGTGGTTTATAATCAAGTCAGGGAAGATTGCTTTTTTTAACTACTTTTTAAAAAGTACGGCGAAATTGGGTGTAGGCATAATTTTAATAAAATTTAAAAAAATATATATTTGTAGACACTAAAAAGCACAATATTTGAAAAATATTCCCTGGGGCAAAATATAATCTAAAGCGATATAAGCTATTGAAGTTGTTCAAACTACAAAAGTTTGGCAATTTAAAACGCCAGTCACCTCCCCTACGAGAATACACGGTGGAAAACTTTGAAGCTATCCTAGTACTTTAGCATAGAAGTTTCGAAAAGTGTACGTGATCAATATTTTAAATTTACTAAATAAATTACTATTGCTGCCATCGTAGTCACAATTAACTTACCTTAAAAGCATAGGATGTCGCTAATGCCGAAGCACTTACAAGTGCACTACTACTCGAAAGTCCAGCGCTAGGAGGAATTGTACCGTGAACTAAAATATTCATTCCTTTTAGTTCAATAGTAGAAGGTAAAATGTCCAATATACCACGAATACCACATAAAACGTACTGATACCATCCCGGAGCGCCTTCCCCAATTTTAACTCTATATAACAAAGAAAATTGAGTAATCAATAATCAGTTCAATAGATTAATTAATCTACTTAAAGTTGTGCTAAACTATAGTAAAACTTTAATGTATCATAACACAGTAGTTGGGCGTAAAAGCCCAACCGAGTCCTTTAATTACTCCGAACTTTATTGCTAAATAAGGTTTGACGCGATAAATATGAACGTTGGGATCCAGTAATTAATGCTCCATCAGGTTTCCCAACCACAACCGAGTTTTTTGCGAGTCCCGTTTATTGTTTTGCAACCAAAGCCCTTCCCGGGCTTGGCAAAACACACTCACAAAAAAAATTGTAATTCGACATGTTAATGAAAGCTTTCCGCCTCTCTAATGGTATTCATTAAAACTCTTGACGTTGGGGATTAACGAAATTACGACCCAAACTTCGCGACCATCGAAAAGTTTTTGAAAATAAAATGTTCACGGAAATTTTTATCCTAGGTTATTGTGAAATTCGTTTTCAATTAAGTAATTCGTTGTGGTCTACTTAGTACTAGTTGCAAATTTGATCTCTAATCGTACCGGATTCTAATAGATTACAGTTTGCATTGCCGACGTTAGCTAAGTACCTACTACGTACGATTGGATGTGGTATTAAATTACTCGATTGTACACTCTAGTTTATAATTTAGTTCACCATCGAAATTACGTATAATTTGAATGCATTTCATCTCAACGACGATAATAGAAATGGCAACGTCAGCGTGGTTCGTCGTGAACACACTTCGTAGAGAAATAAACACTACATTCCTGAAATTCTACGGCGGCGGCGTATATTATGTTTCGAGAGTATTTTAGTTCAAAGCCGTTTACTGCTTACTAATGGAATTGTTTGCCATTCAGAACAGGTGATATTCAAATATTTCAATTGCATCTCTATACTAAGACATCTTTCTAGAAATGATCAAATTGATCGTGATGAGTTTGAAAACATTACTTTTTCTTCTTGAGTTTTTGTTTTGTTATCTTTGACTTTTCTTAACTAAATATGTTTCAACGTTTTTGAAATAAATCCTCTTAAAACGTGTAGCAGGGCGTTTGATAGTTGTTGATGAAAATTGATAAAATAATTATTCGGGAGACGATCTTTTTATAAAAAGAAACTACTTTATTTTATACTAATATTTCGATCTTCCTCAGAGCATAACTAAAATACAAAAGCAACCAATTCAAAAATAACAATCTTACAATAAAGGTTCATTATTTACAAATTGTGTTTCTTAAGGAAATAACATAATGAAACCATAAAACGTTTATAACAAAATAATTGAAGATGTAAACATTTTAAAAACACAATACAATACACACCAAAAATTAAAACTTCGAGTTGAAAAATAAAACGTGAAATGTGACAACCATATTAAAATAAGCAAATCAGTACTCGTCAATCGAGTTATGTCACAAAAAAATTTATTTATTTTTATTTTTATCTAGTTGAAAAAGATATGAATAAATGTTGCTCAAATTTTCTGTATCTAACTTGAAATTGACAATGTTATTTTCAGCGTTAATATGAAACATTTCCAGGAATAATCTATTGTGATAATTAGATTCCTTGTCCAAAATTATTGTTTTCAAAATCAAAAATATGGTTATGGTTAACAGCGTGCTTTGAGAGAGCACATGATGTTTCTTTTAATTTAGTGTCACTTTTGTGTTTATTAACTCTACTTTTTAGCAATTTTTTAGTTTGTCCAATGTATTTACCATTACAATCTTTACAAGTAATGTAGTATATTAGTATGCATTTGTTTATAAATTCGTTATTGAAAATATTTCCAAAGTAACTTTAGTTTGATAGGGTTATTTTAATCGACGCTTCCTTGAATCAACGAAAATATCATCAACTAGGTTTTTTTGATAAATTGCCGCTGGTAGAACCATATTTTCAACAAGACTTATTATACTCCCGTATAATGTACGAATAAATGTTAGTTGGTTGAAAAGAAAATTTCAGGCTGTAATAAACGGTCACAAAGTTTTAATGGCGCGCAAGGGACGGATATCCCAATAGAAGAAAGTTGGACTAACTTTTCGCTTAAAAATTGCCTTTTATTTATTTCCTAGAAAAAGATGGATTTTGGTGGTTCTCGATATATTTAGTTATATTTCACCAAAGCAGTTACTTATTATTATTTATTTTTTTATTGAAATTTGACTTCAATTAAACAATTTTTCCTTATACTATCTGGTAATGCAGTCAACTAACAGCTCGCCTTACAAATAAACAAAACATATGGAAAAACAACTAAATTAATTTTTGAACTTCATTTTCGAAATGTTATCCAGCAATATCTTCCATGTTAGTATGCCATATTGCATTGATTACCTTATGTAGGATGGAAGGATTTATAAATTTCATGGTATAATGAACGATTCCAGCAGTGGGCGAGTCTTATGATGTCATCTAAATGATTTCATTATCCAATTGTTTGATGCTGTATATATAGTGATTAGAATTTAGTGATTCATTCCAGTAATCAGTGATTCTTTTGTTGTGATTTGAATATGGAGTGGATGGTTTCAGTATCGTCTGAATGATTACAGTTTCTAGTAACTGATTCCAGTGTCCAGAATATAGATACGAGCTCCATAGTAATTACAATAACAACCTAGTTGTAGATTCCAACATAGTATAGTGGATGATTCTAGTATTTAGTCGTTTGAATGGTTACAGTATTTAGTCATTGGATAATTCCAATATCTAGTTATTGGGTTCAATAATTATATTAAATTCATATTTGTTCCAAAATGCAGAAGTGAGATACTATTTTCAAGAGTAAGGCAGGAACTATACAGAGCAGTGGAATATTGAATAGAAACTGATAATAAAAATAAGAGATTGAGCAGAGACTAGAAAGAGAAAAAAAAGACTGGAAAGTCACAATAAAGAAAGACTAGACAGAAAAGAGGAATATAGGAAACAATTTGGTAATAGAAGAAAGAGATTTGAAAGATAAGGACATGTCTTCAACATCTACATATTTGAAATGCGGGCCGGTTTTAGCAATCAATAATATGTAATCATCCGAAGTATGCAGAAACCATAGAGGCTGGAAAGATATAAAGGAGCTGAAAACCGAGAAGCTGAAAAAAAAAGAAACGAGGGAAAGTAGAGAAAGAGTGAAAAGAGATTGATAATATAATAAAAAGATTGGGAACACAAGAAAGGAAGAACTAAGGAAGACTGAAAACAGACTCGTAATAAAAGAAACAAAGTGGAAAGGATAAAAAAGGGATTAGTAACAGATGGCTGACACTACCAGAGATTGCAATAAGACTGGTGAGATAACAAAGAGATTCAACTGAAAAGAACACAAAATCTGACTATAGAAGAGCGATATAAGAGCGAGGTTAAAAAGAGAAAACGACACTGATCAGAGATTGGTAAGCAAACAAAGACACTAGAACTACATAAGGCTATAAAGACAAAAAAGTAACTATAAACTTAACAGAGAATGTTAAGACAAAAAACGGACAAGGTAGAACAGATAAAGAAGGAAAAGAAACTGCTAATGAAAGAAAGATATTGAAAAGAGGTCGTAAAGGTAAGATACGGGAAAGGTAGAGTTGAAAAGATTGGGAAGAGAGTAGTAATAACAGGTTTTCCAATAGTGGCGGATCGATGTTGAAATAGGATAAAACAAGCAGTGTATGACGTATTAACGAAACTCTTTTTGATTGAAAAGGCCTATATACCACTATGTATGGAATATGGCATATATGGAATGGCGTTATAAAATATAACATCTTTCAAATGTGGCTGCTCACGGTGGTATGGATTCGAGAGGTTCCATATTCAATGACTCTGCATAGATCCATATGCCTGTGTGCGTTAATGGTCCAACATGTCTTGTTGGAAACCATTTTCGAATAAATTGATAACGGCAAATTTTCCAAATATGGGATAAAGTGGTTTAACAATAAACCCTGGTATGCCATGGCATTCAGCTTTCCTTTTATTTTAAAATAGGTGCAACACCACGCTCGCTACAACAACCCCATACCACTACACTTCCGCCACCGAATTTCTCTGTCTTTTTCGTGTACATAGCATCTATCATCAGGTCCGCATAGATAATAATGTTTAAGCAATTTTCGTTTAAATTGACTTAACTGACATTTATACTGCTTTTAAATCAAATTCAACAGTCAATACGAACCACACACCGAACAGACATTGCCAACGTCAGGGTATGCTAATTAAAATGCCAACTTAAAATAAACATATTTACGAAAAAACACTTATAACAATTTAAGCAGCGATAAAATCTTACTACAACGAAGCCATTACAAACGATACAGTATAATTCAATATAAAAAATTGTGTTAAAATGCCTTTATAGTTCAAAATATGTATAGTACTGTTTGAATTTATAAGAGTGTGCTAATTAACGTGCCAGCAGTGTAGATAAATCAAAATAATAAGAGACTGAAGAGAAATGAACTGATAACAGAAGACGGAGAAAGAAAAGAGGCTGATAATAAAAAAGATACTGTAAATCTGGGCAATGTGTACCGTGTTATACCGAAATCAAGTAAGGTGTAAAATTTTATGATAGCTGAAATTACGTTCCAATAAAACATACAAACGAAAAAGTAAGTTAAGTTCAAGTTTTTAATCAAAAACAAAAATATGTAATACAACATTATGATGCAATTCCCGTTTTTTATGGAATTTAGGTAAATATAAAAATTCGGTGTAAATTTTTTTCTGAAATAGTGGAAATGAAAGTTTAAAGTTTGTTATACATCATTGCAAAATAGAGACTTTGAGGATTTCCTCCGGACAGTTTTTGACACCCTTTTCTTACAGAAATTCTTCTACCTAACCGTATTAAGTATTAACAGATTGTGATGTATCAAGAAAATAGTTTATTAATTTTAACGCTTGGTTTTTGATAAATGTAAAGAAATAAATTTTAATCAAAGTTCGCTGAGGAAATTAATATGTCTTTAACATAAACGATCACACA